CCCCAAAACCCCAAAACCCCAAAACCCCTTTAGATTCATTATTTGTTGAATTGATACTTATTCTATTCGTATCTACACAATACATTTCAACGGAGTTCCAATTGAAACTTCAACTTGATCTCCATATTCTAACTTTATTACTTTGTTTCCATCCACTAGGATATTTCCATCCATGTTTAGATTTGTCACTTGAAGTTTTTCGGATCAGAAGCCTTCTTCCTGCTGTGAGAGAGACATTAAAGTTGCACTCTCATAGATTTTAAGGTCGAATGGATTTCTTCATAGCTCTCTATTCAAATAATAAAATTTCTTCTCCTCAGATGAAAATTGAAGACTTTCATGGATATTTCTTAAAGAATGGACTGTTGCACATTGGCTTTTGTTATTTGAGATGATTTCATTTGTCCCACAAAGTTCGGAGATTCTAGGCCTTCTTGCAGATAAAAGTAATCCTGTTGATCCTGAACCTGTTGACACTATCAAACCTGAAGATTTGAGGATCCCGAGGTTCTGTTCATCTGTAGTCAATTCATAAGTGCATGTTTTAGCTCCAAATGATTCTTCCATAACCATCTCATTCAAACTTAAACATGAATCTACAACTTTTAGTTTTTCTACTGCGTCTTCAGTCTCATAGGGAAGTCTTTTAACATCTATCCTAGTTCTAGTTCTGTATGAGAACTTGGCATTGCTTATGTCTTCTAAGCAGCTTACTAGATGATCAATTGGCTTGTTAAGTATCTCTGTCTCTTGGGCATCTTGTTTGCTATAAATTTTATACCCACACAAAAAGCCTCCAGATCTTTCTGGATCTGTATTGATCCCCACGATAGGGATATTTTTATCCTGGATATATTTACTCGTTGACAAGAAGTGTCCATCTCCTCCTAAGCTGACTACAAAAGGGATGCTGCTTCCTCCTGGTTGGCATAACTGTTCTTTAATCTGTTGCTCATCGTCAGTGAACATTACGTTTACATTCCTAGAAGGTTAAATTTTCTAATCAGTAAATTTTGCCTAATTTTTACGGAGTGCATACCTCATCTTTTGTTGGATAATATCTAAAACATAATTAATCCGGTACGATGGGATATGTAAGGCTCAGACTTACCAATACTGCGCTCATGTATTTCTTTGGATGCCTCTAAACTTTTATAGAGACGCTGGAAAGTCTGACTCTAGAAAAATTCTTAGCAACTTTTGAAGCTCATTTTTCAGACTATAAAGAAGCTTACAGTTGTTGGAAGAAAGCTTTTTGATTTAGACAGGCATTCTATCCTTGATTTTAATGCATAGAATGGTGCTTGGGGTTAAAGAATAGCTTACTTTGAGGTACACGTAGATTAATTTTTGGCTTTTTAATAAACACAATTCCAGCTGACATCTTGTTAGTTTTGATAAACTTTTTAAACGGTTGGCTAAAAATGGGGTTTTGGGGTTTTGGGGTTTTGGGG